ACCTTCCAAGCCAGAAGACAGATAAGACCACCAAGGTTTGAAGCCACTTCTTCCTTCCTCTGGACAGGTTTCAAAAAAATCCTGAGAAAGCTCTCTCTGGGTGTGTATAAGGACTCAGGAAGATGCACAGCTTGCAAGCCCTTGGCCCAGGCAAGGCCATGCCCACCTCTCCTTGCAGCCTTCTCTAAGGCACTACTACCATGCTTTGTGATGTTGTGGCTCCTGCTGGGCGAAAACGCACCAGCGGTTCATTCATGAAATGGTGCCTCAGGTAGGAAAGAGGTCAGAGTTCTGCACAAGAAATGAAATGCTCTTGAAGTTACATAGCTGTTCTGGGGATATTAACATACAAAATTAATGAGTGTTGCATACATCAGCCCAGCATGCTGCCTCGGTGAACACCAAGCTCTGCTGTTGTTGCCTTCTTTTAAGAACTGCAGCACCTGTAAGCACTTGCAGCGTGCGCAAGCTCTGCATTCTCTTTCTTCCACTGGGCTTTGCAGTATGCTTTTCCAAATATCTTGTTTTGTTATCAGGCAAAAGGACAGGATTTGCATTCCTTGCCTCAAGTCATTTCTTGTTCATGGGTTTTCCACATCCATCTTGGCCATCAGCAGCACGGAGCACCACCCACATCCCAGTGGCCGTGCAGAACACACCTGTGCCAGCACGTTGCTCATCCTCAGGTGTGCAGAGCACTGCTGACCCACCACCATGCAGCAATACCACATGCTCAGGCAGCTGGCAGTGACCCCTGCTGTGCTGACTGTGGATCCGAGCTCTGAATTGGACCCTTTAGAGAAACAAGGAATAATGAATCACGTTGATCCCTGAAGTAAATGGCAGCGTTGAGCACTCAGGAAACACAAGCCCAGGCTAATTTCCTACATGGGAAAGAACAACATCTTCTTTCACGCCATAATGCCTGCCTGCTCCTGAGAGTTTTACTGTGTGCCAGATGATTGAAACAGAGCCTCTTGTGTTAAAGCCACCAAAGACACAGAGAGGAGTCAGTGACACTGTTGTGTTGGCCAAGGTTTCAGAGGAAGGGCTCCTGGGGACACACAGCAAAGGACCAAATTCAATCACAGCCCTGAGAGAAGGGCTCTTAGATTCACAACCCCAATGAAAACCTGAGTGCTGACAGCTTATCAGTTGCACGATTTACCCAAACCTACTGCTAAATGATCATGAAAGTAGCTGTCAAGTGAGAGCAATCTCAGTAATGCACATCAAGAGCCAACATAACAGCTTAAAAAAATAGTTCAAATGCATAGACAAGGCAAACTGTACAGTTTGACTCATTTAATTGCTTAAATCATGCCAAATTCCAATTTAATAACACGCTTATATACAAAGAATATGTCACAAATAATGCATCAACAGAAATACATGTTTAACACAAAGAAGTTAAACCGGTTCTGTGGCAGATGCTCGTTTACATATGCATTGATTTAATTACAGATTTCTCTCCCTCTTTTCAAGATTGCTATAAAAGATCCAGAACACTATCCCTGAAACTCTCGAGTTGAGCCAGACTGACGAGATGCACCAATTTTCCCTTTGGTTGTGCCGGCAGAGATGTGCAACAATTCTGCTCTACTGACGCAAACAAAGTCAGAGGGAAGGGCAGTGCTGGCACAGCTGAAGTTGGCAATGCACCACTGGATGTAATGAGATTTGTAGCTGTCTTTGTAAGAATGAAAGCTGGAACGGGGCTGGAAGATCCTTGAATTCCCACCTGCAGAAAGAGCATCCCCAAAATCAGATGCCTGCACCTCAGGGGTGCTCTTTGTGCCCCACAGAGCCAGCAAAGCATCCTGCCCTCATGCACACTGCAACTGCTCACCCATGGACTGGGCACAGCCAGTTGCATCCATGCCTGAGCAACAGATCACCCAGGAGATGTGTTAGGCAACCATTTCAGGCTCCATCAGCAAATAAAGAGATCAATGAGTGGCACTTGGAGACTGTGTGGAGCAAAGTGGGAACAGCTTCTGCCCCTCCTGCCCCAGCCTTTCTGCTCAGCACGAACTGCCCCCCATGTTCCCTGATGCTGTGGTTCAAGTGAAGACCTTTGTGGTTCATGAGCCAAGTCATGCCCAGCTGCCCTTAGCACACGCATGGTCAGCACCTACTGCTAACACAAGGGCAGGGAAAAGTGTATTCAGAGCACTGAGCTGAGCCAGCATCAACAAATCACAGAATCATTAAGGTCGGAAAAATCCACTAAGATCATCTATAGTCCAACCATCCTCCTACCACCAGTATTGTCCACTGAACTACACCCCTCAGTGCCACATTCACCCTTCCCTTAAAACACCCCCAGGGACGATGATCCCACCACCTCCCTGGGCAGCCTGTGCCAGTGCCTGACCACTCTTTTGGAGAAGAAATCCTCCCTAGTATGTATCCTGAAATAATGCACAGTGAGAGGAACTGATGGTGTAACACTACTCAAATGCCTCAGTTATGCAGTAGCTTGACTGAAGTCAGGAACAGTTCCATAAAATCGGCTTAATCTACCTTTCTGCATCGAAAAATCCAGTCAGAGGAATATTCCAATTGCTTGTCATTGTTATTTAGCCCTGGCTTTTCTCTGCAGACATCTGAGTGCTGTCTTTTGATTGCATCCACCAGCAGTACCTCCAATAGCTGGGTCAGCTTCAGAGAGGCAGGACAAAGGGATGGAATAACAAGTAACAGGTAAACAAAGGGAAGAAACGACTGAAATTATTGACAGGAAACCCCTCTGCAGAAACACAGCGTGGTGCAGGCTCTGGGCTGAGCAGTGGTTGCTCCTCTTGTAGAGCACAGGCAGCGTGAAACAGGCAGGCAGCTTGGGATTGTTGTAGGCTGTGCTCAGTCACACGAGATCCCCGTTGGGCGTTCAGTACATTCAGTCTCCTTCCATCCGTTCAATTTGTTTTCCCAGCTGGCAGAGGGATTTATTTTAAGAGACTTCTCTCTTTTTTGTAAATGTGCGGCCTTATAAGCTAAAGTGGGTGATTAGTAACAATGCTGAGCATAGAAACTTTTGGTTTTAACTGTGAGAGGTGTTATGTTATCCCTACCTCAGGTAGAAAGGCAGTCTGTCTGTAGGAAATGTATGAAATACAGGTCGACCCTGTTGATCTTGCTGTGCCCATCACTCAGCACCTCCCAGCTGAACAAGGAGATGGAGAAAACACAGCTCATTCAGGCTCAAACCCAGTGCTGCACAGCCCATGCTGAGGCAGCCCACATTGGGAATGTGGGAGCAGCTCAGGATGCTCTCACACTTTTGTTGTTGATGTGAGCATGAGCTGGGGCTCTTCTGCAGGCAGATCCAGCCTAGCTGAGTCTGCACCGCTTCCCCTGCATTGTGGGACCTGGGATACCCATGGAGTGGTGCAGACCAGCACATGGGGACAGCCCAAACACTCGGGGAGAGCACTGCTGCTAATCCATGCTGGTCACCATGGGTGGTTTGGAGGGGATGTAGGCCTCCCTATGTGCCATGCTTTGGGGACCACCCCATCTCAGCCAGCTCTGCTCTACAGTGGTCACCCAAAAACTCCAGCAGCAGCCCCACACCATGACCCTGCTGCTGCCTCCCCATCACCTGTGCATCTCTTCAGCACAGAAACCACAACCATGATTGGGGTAATGTAACCACAGCCCAGCTGCCTGCACAGCAGCAGTGCCACGAGGTGACCCAGCCTTCTGACTGCGTGACACTGAAACAAGGAACAGGACCCAGCCACAGAGGCACCGACACCACCAGTGTGCACCAGTTTTCTGTTGGGGCTCTCTGAGCATAACAATGCATGAGAACTCAGAGGAGGACTCTCCAGGCCAACTGGAAATGGGGTGGGCAAGAGGTTCAATATTTCTTTCCACCCAGTTCACTTTTCTTCTGTCCACCATAAAAAAAAAAAAAAAAAAAAAAAAATTGGAAGAAAGCCATCTGTGCAGAGAAAATAACTCTGAGCTGGAGCAGAATGCTGTGAATTTGCACGTAATGAAAGAAGATAGCTCAGGTGGTTACCAGAAAACATCCCCTCCATCCCTTGGAGTGGTTACTGCAGCACTGAGAGCTCAGGGAGGCAGAAGATGAGCACAGCTCACACGTCCTTTCTCCTCCCGTCACCACAGTGACTGCTGCATTCAGAATGGGAACTGAAAATAAACGTGGGAAGCAGCAGATGGCCACTGCTGAATGCATGATGCTGTTTGCCAAGTCCTGAGCAGAAGAGCACACGTACAGAACGGGATGGAGCTGCTGGCACCAAGCACAATGGCAGCACCATGGATGCAAGCGGAAAAGCAAGAACCGCTCTGCTCTGCACAAACAGATCTAGAGGAAGAAATTATACATATGATAGGCTCTCCGTGGGCTGTCCAGGTGGTTCTCCTGTTTGCCAGACCTGCTGCACGGTGGCACAATGAGGACAAGGCATCACCACGCCTTGTACTGATGGAAACATTCCCACGTCATGGCAGAACCTGGCATCCTTGAATTTGAGTAACTCCCTCCAGTGCTGTCCAACTCCACTTGCTTGCTTCGCTGGGAACACTGACTTTGAGTCAACTCAAATAGTTCCAGCTGTGACACGCACAGGACTAAGCTGTTCCAAGAAAAATTTAAAAGCATTTAAGTATACTCTTTCATGTCTTTCCAGACCTTAGGGATAATTCATTTAAGCATTTTCTTTTGGGAGAAATGGCAGAAGGAGACAAAGATTTGAAAGCAATAATTTCACTGGAACTACAGCACAAATCTGTGAGGAGATGGAGGGAATGCAGCACAGAAATCATTGCTGTGGCTCACAGAGGAAGTCAGATTATTTAACCACGTAGCCTTAACATTCTGGAAATGGTCAGCACAGTAACAGTGAGAACTAAACAGAGAGGTACTCGAGCTACAAGAGAAGAAAAGCAATTTTATAGAAAAATCAAAACCAGGAGGGATTTTAGGACATCAGTAGGATGCTGGCCTACCTTTTATTCACTTAGTTAACACGGTTCCTCTTGCATGCATTTTCATGTATACGCTAGCTCTTGTATACACTAGAGTACACTTGTATTATACAGGGTGGGATTTTCTTACTCTACTTTTTTACAGCTGCTGATAGATGAGTTCAGCCCAGGTGCTGTAATGGGCTACAAATTGCTGTATGTAGGAAAACTAAAGATGATATTGAGCTTTTCTGGCTCATGGTTGTCTTGAAGTTTTTTTGCAATGGAAGCCCATGGTCTACAACTATTTTAAACACTACAGAGATATCAAATCAAGATAAGCAGCTGCAGCTAATTGCAGCCCTCTGTGATATAATTGTGCTTCTTATCAACAGTGATTAAAAAGTGCTAAAAGTCCTTTCATAGAGGGTTAAGTGTGGAAAGCCATACAGCAAACAGCGATTCTTCACAACAAACACAGTCCATCAGTTTCGATGCCACAACTATTAGAAATATTTACTGAACACAGAGAGCAATTTTTAATTCCTAACACAGTAAATAGTATTCTTCCATCTGAGAGACAAAGCAGAGAACAGCTGCAGTTCATTTCTTCTTGATTCACAGTCACAAATAGGAACAGTTCATGGCAAGAACTTTGTTGGAATAAAGTAGAAATGTCCCGTGGCTAAAAGTACAAATCCTGTCTTCTGTCATGAATCTGAATACCTGAAAGACACAGCATTAACAGGACTGTCAACCAGAGCGCTCCATTCAGTCCCCTTGGATGTTGCACAAACAAAATTGCACCTTTGGGTCTCCTCTGATGCAAGAGGGCTCTTACGAGAATAACCAGAATGAGCCATCCGAGCTCTCCCCAAAACATTGCACAGCCACGGAGCAGCACTGGGGTAACCTCCCAGGCACAGGGCACAGCTCAGGAGACCAAGAAAAACGCGGAAGCCTGAATGCTTTGGGAGTCATTTTGTACAGTCATCAAGGTTGGAAAAGACCACTACGATCATCAAGTCCAACCATCAGCCCATCATCACCGTGCCCACTAAGCCACGTCTCCCATTGCCACAAGCAACGCTGCCAGCAGCACAGTGGGTTTGTTGGTGAGAGGGGCACAAGAGATCAGGGGCAATGACAAATGGGTGCATTGGGAGGCAGCAGGCCCATGGTACAACAACAAAAATGGGAGTAGATGGAGTTAGAAAATCACATCTCACTTTAACAAAGTGTTTTCCCTCTTTCCAGTTACAGGATAGCAGTGTGCATTACCGGAGAAAAAAAACCAAACTTTTGAAATGCAGTCCAGAAGCAAGTAAAAAAAAGGATTCAATTCCTTGTGCTTAAGAAAGGCATCTGTCCTCTATAGACAAGCACTAATTTGTTACAAACCTGCTAATTTCATTACTCACCTGCAGTGGCATGGCTTGCGCTGGGGTTCTCTGAGCCTTGGTAAGAGCTGGCTTTCCTCTCTTAAAAAAGGAGAATACTGGAGATGAGCAGAGATTCGGCATAGAGCTACAAGTAGGCAGCAGTTCCTAAAGAAACCTTGTGCTTTTGCAGCCCAGCCTATAGCACAGGTGCTGGGGAGCTCTGTGCTGTCTGGCACAGCAACATACACTTCCATAAATATAAATATCAGCTGTTCTTAAACATGACACAGCACAATGAGGAGTGTATTGAACAGAGCCAAGAAACAGGGACTCCGACAGCCAGACTGGATGCATACATCACAGGGGCTTGCCAAAGGCATGGCCAGTCCCTAATCTGCTTGGGTTTTTTGGGTTGCTCAATAAGCAGACGTACAGCATTACGCATGTGCTGTTGTGGGGCTCGTCAGATGTTCAGAAAGGTGTGAAAGAAAATGCTTCCACTGCAGATGGTTGGGGGACACTGAGCTGCTTCGTTATCTTTCCTTATGATTCTAACTCAATTCTGTCCTGAATTTTTGAACTGAAGTCCACTACAGTTAGCACCATCTCCTCACATCGGTTACATGCAACATGTTTGTGTTTCAGAGCAGCTGGTGCACTGGGCTGCCAAGCCTCCTTGGGCTTACATTGCCCCCTGGGGGGAAGAGGGCACCTTGCTCTGTTCTAAAATTGAATCCTTAAATTTCAGCTTCCTTAAAGCAATTCAGCTATCATTTCACTTCCTCAAACAGCCTCAGCTAAACCTATCTAGGTATGCACCACGAACAGAAAACATGCAATCCAGATGGAGACTCTCCCCTTTCCATGCATGGGCAGCTAGACCTTAGGAATAAGTAAACTCCAGGTAGGACATGCTGTGTGCCTCCCACAGACCCCCTCAGCAATTTCACAACCCTTTTTCTTGGAACCCAGCATCAAGCTACCAAATGGGAAAGCCCAGCAGGGAAATGCATCGGGACCTCACAGGATACCCAGGCAATGGGCAGGAGTCTGGTCACTGACAGCTTCCCAAAGGCAGAGAGCACTTTCTTCACAACTCTTACATGAATTGCATTAGGGCTGGGGAATGTGCTGCAGAGAGAAGTCACAGTCTCTGACACACAGGGTAAGGACAGCAATTAGCTGTGGGGCAAGGTGAGGCTGGCCACCAGTCCTCTGCCCATCTCCTCTGCCATCCACCTGCCTCCTATGGTACTGACCATAGCTGAGCAGGGAGAGAACCCCTTGGCCTTCCTGATAAGGACTGCAGCTTCACACCTTTGGTTCACAGCATCATCTGTGCTCTAAACAGTCAGCCTGGCGGCTCAGGGCTCTTACATGAGTGGCCCTTTTTTAATCCTAAGTGGGAGCACTGGTGCCACCATCCTGATACCTATAGGCAATAGGTCTTGACAGCGCATGGATGTTATTGAAATTCACTTCAAATGATTCCTTAAAGCAAGTCAAAATGTTTAAAAAAAAAAAAAAAAAAAAAAAAAAGGGTGCAAGTGGCCAATGCATGGTGGTTGTTCTTAATCAGTCCTGAGTATTCCAGCTTTGGATATCTGCTGAAAACCATTTCTATGAGCTGGGCTGAAGATGGCTCAGATTCTAGCACACTCAGGACAGACTCTACCTTTTTGTCTCCTTCCATGAGATGCCATCAAAGAATAAAGTGATAGTATTTCCTTACCTCCCCCAGGAACTGAACTTTGGCTTATATTTTGTAATCTAGCAGGTCCAGTCATACAAGTAGAACTCGAGTGTTGCTTCACAGCACATTCCTGCATGGACATCAGGCACCGTTCCTGTTGTAGAAGACCAAGAAGGGAACCGTATTTCCTGTCGGAGATGGATTCATCCACCACGTGCAGGTCGGGCACGGCATGATGATACACAGGGCTGGTGAGACTGGGAGTGCCAAGGGAAGGGAAGGGCCAGAGGTCTGCAGGCGGTGCTGGGTGAGTACGCAGAGCTGCTGGCTGGTACTGCCCTGCCATAGCAACAGCAGGGAAATTCAGAGCAGAGTTGGACATGCTGGTAGAGGAGGATGATGGATATGGTTTGGAGCAATGCGAGGAGAAATTCCACTGGTGAGGAGACATGCTATCTGCTCAAAGAGAGAAAGAAAACATCTGAAGTCCCATTAATTTTCATCTTCCTCCCCCACTCCAGAGGCAAATTCCAGTGCATTTTTAAGGGAACACTACAGTACTGCATATTCATTTGCACATAAACATATATTCACTTTAGTGTCGCTTATCTTAACATCAGTTCATACTAACAGCAGGTAAATCACCACCACCAGTACTTCCCCTCCACTCCTTGCAGGCATAAACAGAGTTTTAACACTTGCAAGCTTAGACAAATAGCTCTTTGCAGAAATAACAAATTAAGTCATAATGCACTCAATGCACCTGACTGCGATGGAGGCTCTTGGCTGGAAAATGAGGACCTGGTCCTGCCAATGGACCCATGCAGAGTTTGGGAAGCAGCCCAGCAAACAGGGAGTTACTGCGGATGTCCCAGTGATATAAATCAGGGTTCTGCAAGCATGACTTTGCTGCTTTGTTTGCACATAGTTCCAAACTATTTGTAAACAAGGCTGCATAAGTATATGTGAGAAAACACAGCACGTTTCATCTTCTATTTCTTAGCAAAAGCTCAGCACCCAGCTCACCATGCTTCGGGACGACAACCTCGCTCTTGTGCTTTGTGCTCAGGTCTTGTGGGTTCCTGGCATTGCTCAGAGCTCTAGAGAAATGTTCATCCACCACACTGTTAATATCTCCTTGGAAATACGTAAAGACGACGCTCTGAGCTCCCCATTCTGTTTTCACAGGCTCTTTGCTCTTACACGGCTTTGGAGAAAGCTTCCTTGTTTCCTCCATTTTCAATAAGCAGCAGCCCCTGCCAAAAGAAACAGATCGGTACAGGAAGAACTCTTTGTCTTAAATGGCACAGCCAGCGGTGAGCCTGTCTTCCTGAAATTAGTGGTGCCAGAGGAATTGTTGCCAATGAGATGAGAATCTTTACCCGGGTTTCTGCTCCTTCCAATCATCTTCTAGTCCTTATTCTCTCTCATCAACTATTGATTCATGATGAAACCCCCGAGTTCCTCAGCCCTCTTCAGATTTTTACTATTTTTTTACTCCTGCATCCTTTTCCCAGCTCCAGCCTCTACCCCATCTGATCACAACACACACAGGTTGGGTACCAGATTGGAAATGCATGGAGATCCTACTCCCAACACCCACCCCCAGCCATCTGATTGGGATACCAGTCTTTCAGAACTTTGCCATTGACCAAATCTTCCCAAACGGAGCACAGTTCAAACCAAAACCTTCCTCCTGGTTTATAGCCACCTTCCCAAGGCATATGAGGAGAGCAAGGAGCTAGCACATTCCAGACAAATAACTGGAAGAACTTTGAGCAAAAGGACACTACTTTTGTCCCAGCCTGGTTCTAGAAAGCAATACACAATTTAGGTTACAAAACTTTCTGGCTGTTTATCTGGAGGCCAACGCTTGCCATGGAAAATTCCAACCCAAGTGGTGAAAGTTTGGCAAAGTCATCAGCTGCCACACAGCTTGAGAAAGGACCAAGATCAGATGATCTCAACAGCAAGCACCAGACCAGTTCCTCCTACACTGCTCTGTGATGCATCCTTCAACATACAATTTAAAAAGCATTAGCTCTGGCCCAGAGGACCATTTCTCCTGTTCCTCGCTCACGGCAAGACAGCCATTTTGTCTTCGTACCACTTTATTAACATGTTAACCAGCTTATGATGTTAATTGTAAGGTCCTTTAGCACCATTTATTGGTGTGTAGCAGCTTACACTTTTGTGAATTCTGACAGCAGTACAGTTACAACACTAGAAAAATAGTAGTCTGTTGAAGCAAGAACATCAGTTTATTTCTCATTGTCCTTAATCACAGAATCACCAAGGTTGGAAAAGATCTCCAAGTTTATCTGGTCCAACTGTCCAACTACCACCAGTAACTCCCTACTAAATCAACTAGATTTAACTAGAATGTTAAAACCTCTTGTGCTTTCCAACAAGCAGTCATAAGAAAGCTGGATATAACTCAGCTGAGCTAGTTACCTGAACTTCCCATTCTTGTCTTCCACAGCAGGAAGTCTGAAAAAAAAAAAAAAAAGCAGAAATCCTTCCTTTCTGCCTGCCACAAAGTGCTGTCAGAATATAGATGGGACGAAACAGACTCAGCCAACCCTATGCTGCTCTCAGAAGGGGTGGATTATGGCTAACAGTGCAAATAATTGTCAAAGTTATTTGCCCTTCAGTAGACAAGGTAAACAGGCTTAAGAGATGCAATTGTTGACTGCTCACCACAGGTGCCAACTTTGTTTTCCACATTTCCAAGTCCTTGCTTGTACTATTGATTTCCCATCACTGTGGCTTTAGATAAGGAACTCCTTATTCTCTGTTTCATGTCGCCTAAACCAGTCTTAAAAATAAAACCCAAAAGATTTCCAACTTCCCAAGCGTTGAGCAACAACCCAGCAAGCAGACATCATCCTTCACTAAGTGTCTTCCAAATAAAGGAGCACTTGAGAAAGGCAGCAAAGATACACTGAAATAATTAAATTCTCGTACCTTAACTCACTGTGACGAGCTGTGGCACACAGGTGAGGTGTCCTGCAGGTGGGGTGGTCATGCTGTGCCCAGTGGTGTGCAATCCTTCCCCCCGACAGCTACATGCACAGCACGGTGACTGCAGGAGATGAGCGGCGTTCATGAACTCCCCGCACGCTTTCTAGCCTCTAGCAGTGACTGAACTAGGCGTTTCCTTCAGCCTATCTACTAAGAATGCATGAAATGCACTCCAACAAGTCAACCGGGTTAGGAGGTTTCAGGAATGAGGAAAATAGGATTGTAAATAGGTGGGTTTTTTTTTTCTTTCCCCAATGACAATGTGTACACAGTCAAGAAGACAGAGTCTGGGCTTCGGAGGAGTTCAGAATAAAGTGATGAACAAGTTACGGCCAAGAGCCAGCCTGCTGCCTTGGCCAGGGTCAGAAAGGACTTCCCTGTTACACATATGGCATTAAGTGTGTAACTGGGAATATCAGCAAGGAGGAAGAGATCAGCCATCAGCATGCTGGATAAACTGGGTGACCAATTCTTATTTTTTTTCCTCCTGGATCTGCTGAAGTGAAAACATTGGTATTCTGTACATGTGAGAAACAAGTGGGTTTGTTGGTGTGGTTTTTTTTCTTTAGTAAGTTTATTAAAATTACCAAATTGCAGTCACTCCAGAAATGCTGTATTAAAGACAAATATACTAGTTCCTGCTAGAAAAAGGCATTGACAAATGAATCATCCAAGAGGTAACAAAACTTTCTGCCTTTTATTCAGAGCCTTAAGAGGTCATTCACTCAGGCAGGAGGAAGGCAGGACAGCACCCTAGGATTCCCTCTGCATCAATACGTATGAACCTGTTTCCGTGCTATGTCCCACAACAGCTATCAGCCTGTAGGACTTTCCAAGGCTGTGCTTAGTTTTGTAGCCAACACAGCCTTGACAACAGACAAGTTTTAACAGTGAGACAGACTGGACTTCCAACGTCTCAGCAGATCCAGCACCCCAATCACTCCTGGATCCCTCTTTCTAGACTCCATTTTACAGTATAGCAGATTTCTCCTGCTAAAGCTTTTCAAGATGTCAGTCACGAATTTCCTATGAGGGCTGCATAAAGGGCTCACACCACTGTCAGACTGCGTCAGTTTAAAGCCATTCAGTGAGCAACCTGAAGAACATTAGGTAGAAATGGGATTGCCATTCCTGTTCCTTTCTAGCGTTGGGATCAAGACATTTCCAATGCTTTTTGGTTTTAGCATTCAAAATGTCAAGTTTCTAATAAAATAATTCTCAACTGTGAGAATAAAAAGTGTAATTCTTGTTGTCCTGCAGTACCTCCTGCCCCCATGCCTTCTCAGCTATGACCAATGGTTTCCATAGTTAGTTCTCCTGATCCTTCTGCCCTCATGCAAGACTCAGAATCATAGAATTGCTCAGGTTGGAAAAGACCTTAAAGGTCATCAAGTTCAACCTCAAGCTGCCCATACAACCCTAACAGCCCTCTGCTAAATCCTGTCCCTGATTTGCACATGCACTGAGCAAAGCCCACAGAGATGGAACAAAAACCGATCCCAGCTAAATACTAACAGTTGTAGCACCATGAACTGCAGTCACTGCCCAGCAAATGCTACGGGACTTTTTTACTGAGGGGAAAACAAAAAAAGAGACAAAGACATTCTCTAAGAACTCATAGAAAAGACTTTTTTGTTCATGAGTTTGTTTATTAAAAAGGTAGTATAAAACACAACCCCTTTAAGAAACAAAAGTGAAGACAAATCAAGGGATTACCAGATGCTGCCACAGGCCTAGAAGTTATTCCAACATAATGGCTTGAAGTGTTTATTTTCTGAAAGGTAACTGAAAACGATCAATTGAATTTGTCAAATAAAACAACCTCGAAGGAAAATTCCAAGTCAGCTTACCAAAAAGTTTAATCTAACAGTTTACTTCAAAATTACAGAAGGAGCAAAAAAAAAAAAACAAAACACCCAAAAAAAACAATTTGCTGCAAAAGATTTTATACTCCCATCAGTATTTTACAGAACGTTCAGAGTGTTGTGACAGTAAGACTGCAAGCCCTGTATAGTGAGCACTGAAAAACACACAAGCCAAATCAACACAAGTACACAACTTACATCATTGTACTGCTGTAGGGTTTCTCAAATTCAGACAAAAGTAGTTTCAGAATCTGATTAAAACCTGTAGGTATGTTTTGTGGGTTGTTTTGTTGTTATTATTAAAGTTTGCTTAAATGACACAGAATTCAGGGTATTGATGCTGATTTTTACTGGGAAGTTTAAGGCAAATCTGGGTTTCTAAGAAGTATCTGATACTTCTGAGTTTTCTGAAGCTGAATATTTGAAGTTGTGAATAGATTAATGGTAACAATGTCTAGGACACGTGTTAGCTAAAATGCACTGCATTTACCATACCAATGATTTTAAGTGAATTGCAATCCTTATACAAAGCGCAAGTTGTACCAGGGACTGAAATTCAATTAAAAGAAGTAATAAAAAAAAGTCAGCAGGAGAAACAGACAAACATTTTGATGCAAAATGAAACTCACTCTTTCCAGCTGCATGTGAACATCCGAGAACCTGCTGCAACTTACATGCCTGCTCTGCTTGGGCTCCTTGCTCCCAGGCACCTTGGCCACGCTCCTTGGAGCGCCTCATCTCTGACAAATGCTGATAACTCTGTACAGTTACCTTGACAGCAAGCCATTAAATAGCATTTGATTGTAAAGCAAACTACCGACATACCTCAAAGCTAAGCCATCGATTTGCTGTTCCATGGTTAAGGAAGTGACCACCTACGCCCAACTGCAAAGGAGTAACAATTTATTAGTATTCTTTCCCTGCTGGTAGCTTTAAGTGGCTTCACATCGCATTTGTCACACTGTGTGAATTAGCAGAAAAATCTTTCTTTAGTTCAAAGCAGCAATGACTACCAATAAAGCGCGTCAGTCTGCTGCCAGGCAGAGTTTTCATACAATACAGAGGGAAGAAGACAACTTTTCTGAAGATGAACCTCTCCCTAAAAGGCCATGAAGGAAGAAACACACAGTACACACAAATGGAAACAAGGGAACATTAGAAATTGAGCAAAAATTGTTGCTTCTAATGAGCAAGGCTGATTGCCAAATGAACCCTGCGTTCCCAGAAAAGACTCATTTTAGTGGTCATCAAAGCATTTTTCATTAAAGAACAAAAGCAGCGAGGATTGCATTGGGCACTTCAAACCCTCATCAAACCAGTGATGATGCTCAGAAAAAAAAAAAAAATCAAGATTTTAAAAGCAACTCTGTTCTGCTTCTGATTTGCTAAAATACGCTGTTAAACATCACTGTTCTACACAATCATTTTCATAATTGTACTTGGAAAATGAAAGTTTGAACTGATGTGAGAAAACTCTGCATTCACTCATTTATAAAAACCTGCATCACTTAGGAAAGTACCAAAACCAACCAATCTTAATGCTAAAAAGAAAGTCACAGCTGCATCAGCCCCTCTGTGAACTATCAAATGCCTCCATAACTCAACAAACAATTTAGAAAAATATATTTTTACTTTTTACTGGGTAACAACAGAAAAAGGCAAAGAAAAATACCAGTTTGAGTGTAATGTCACTTCAGAACGTATTTTCATGGAAAAACAGCTTTTATTTTCTTAATAATCCTACTTTATAGGAAAGCCAGTCTAGCATTCAGCCTCAGTCTTTGTCAGTGCTCTACTTCAGTGTGAAGTCTAGAGAAAAACAGGAGGCAAACAACATCACATTGGACTTCTCAAACAAGCCAATCAATTTTGTATTCCGATTGGAGAGAGGAAGGTTACTGCACAAGTAATGTGTCTTTATTTCCCAAGATCTTTTCTCAAGCACTAACACTACCCTTATTTTTTACATTTGATAAGATAAGGCTTCAAAGAACTGTACAATATTTATACATTTGACGAGTTTCCCTACAACTGCAATTCCATTGTAGAACAGGCGATTAAATTGCCTAGAGTGTTGTATGAATAGGCTCTTAAAAAAGCAAACAAAACACAACAGCCTAACAAATCTAACACTAGAGAAGCTTAGAAGCTGGAAGATAAAAGGAGCACTGAAAGCAATACTATGTTTAATTACACTCTTCTTGTGTAAAGCTTGTGACAAAGCATTGAGCCCTCAGAGGTCTGCAGCGCTACCAACCAAAATCCCACACAGAACCAACACAACCCAGAGATGCAATGGCAATATGCCATCAGTGGGCAGCTGCACACCAAGCAGCATCTCAGATTCCCTGAACTGTCCAAACTCTTTTTGTTTAAACCCATCGTTCACACCTTGGTGAATATGAGAAGGTGGCCTTATTTAGATGGCAAGTTACTGCCATTACAGCTTTACAGTGCAACTCATTAAAATTGGAAATCTGTCATGCCAGCTTGTAATGAGCTTCTGGATTTTTAAACCTGGAACTCAAATCATCAGACTTGTTCAAATAACAGGTATTTTGTCACAAAAGGATATAATAGAATCACAATGACCAGTGTTACACGTCAGATGGCTTGGTTGCTGTAACTACCCACATATACTGGTTACATAGAGAATCCTCAGGGTACCATAAACACTTCTGGAAAAGATAGAGATGGCAATCTCAGAGCACAAAGCTTGAAAATACCAACTTTCAGACTGTTCTGAATACTTCTGGATGGAAATACACCTAAAATTAACACCTATGGTTTCTCGCAATCCAATATGAATTAAAAAATACACTTTTTAAAGAGCTTCCTTACAAACGTGCACCAGCAGCCACCCCTATGAACAACGTGCTATGAATTTAGCACCAATATTTTAAGCATTTAGTGCCTGAATCTGTATGCTCGTATTCTTAGGAATCAAAATAATGGGATTTCAAATGAAAAATGACTGTGATCAAAATGGCTCCCTCAGGGTTATTTTTCAAGCCTCCTGCTTATTAAGGTATCTAAAGATAGAAGGCCTAAATCTTTGTTTTTGGAAATATTTCTAACAGAGCTAGCACTACGTTTGCTTTTTTTCCCCATGGAAAATAGTATTATTCTTTGAAAGCATGTTCAAGTAGTCTAACACTACACAACCAATCGTAGTTCAAGTTGCCAAAAGCCTTTAGGTTTTATGAAACAGAGGAGAACTCCCCACCACCCTCTGAAGGGCAGCTGAAGGCTAAATGCTGAAGAGAAGTCATTCTAACAGAGTTTAAAGAAAACCTCTAACACCAAA